GTAAAATCGAAACTTCTACAGATTTAAGATGCAGAAGATGAAACGCAGTGTTTATGTGAAAGCAGGAGAAAACAGCGACACTGGGGCGAGAAGCCGTGTTTGTTGCATGTTGATTGTGCCTTACATACCTTAGTAACAGCTTTGATTGTTACATTTGTTTGGCACTTTTTGATTTTTTTTCCAAACATTTCAGTGAGGAGAAAAATTCTAACAAATGCAGATATTTAATTTCCATAGTCTGAGGAAAAAGGAAGTGGGCGGAGCATCATTCCAATGAAGTGACGAAGAGGCCGTGCTCTTCATGTACTCACAGGGATGATGTTCTCCACGCTGATTCCTACGTACACCAGCCGTTCCCTCCTGACAGATAAGAACAGAGAAGCTGTGTCAAATTTTTAATCCGGTATGCTGATCACAGCATTTTCATCCAAACGTGTGCGTGTGTGTGTGTGTGTGTGTGTTTACCTTCTCTCTGCTCTCTCCTTTTTCTTCAGAGCGCTGTCCAGATTCTGCAGTTGTTCCTCCAGTTTCTCACACAGCAATTTCTGAACAGAGGAAAAACAAACCACCGCAGCTCTGTCACTCTGTGATCTAGAAATTATACACTGATGTCGACTCATCGTCCTCACCTCCCTTTTAAACTGTTTACACAGTAAGCCAAGCAGATGGGCTGGTCTAAGTGAAACTACTATGCTTTTACATATTTCCTGGCAAACATACACCATTATGACAGATACGCATAACAAACGTGGACCCAGTGTCAAATAAAAAGCTTCAGCCTGCTTTAAATGCTTTGTTCCAGACAGTTTTTTTCTACACTTGGATCTGTATGATGTCAGCAAACATGGATCCTCCTTATATGGTCATCTCAAGTTCACAGCTCAGGATGTGACCATGGAAGCTCTGTTTACGAGGGCCAGCCAATCGAAACAAAGTCTCAAAGTGGGTGGAGTTAAAAGGGCTTGTTTCATGGGGCCGTTACGATGAAACTGACTGATGCCATTTTAGCCTCTTTATTTCTGTGATCTGCTGCGTTGTGCCGACGCCGGGTTGAAGACACGAGTGTTAATGACACAGAAGCTCAGCGAGTCTCAGGTTACAATGAG